TTCAGTTCTCTCCCCAGAGCCACTCACCCCAGGCTCTCCTCAAGTGTCTGTAGTCCACTCTGCCCTCCCTTTGCTGGAGCCCAGGATAAATGGTTGCAAATGAAATTTTGTGCATTGGCCCTTTAAGAGGCTCTGCATCTCCAGCCGTCTCTCCCTGGTAGACAGAAACCTTGATGCTTTTCACAGCTGGATATTACCTGAGTTCCTTTTTAGCTCTGATGCTAGGGATCCCAGCTTGGAATTTAGACACCACATGTCTCAGGGGGAACCCCTGGCAGCTGAAATATCCTTCTGTAACTTCAGGTGCCGCCCATGGGAGCCCCTCCCATTTCCTCTGCACTCCCTACCAGTCCCATTGTGATGAAGTGTTCTCTTTTGTCTGTCTGTGGTTATAAGGCTTCTCTCCAATTAGTGGTCAGATGGTTATTCTGGATGATCTCTCTTCAAATTTAGTTGTAATTCCAGATTGGTTCAGGGAGGAGGTTAGTGTAGCTTCCACTTACTCCTCCGCCATCTTGGATTTGTATTTTATTATATGAACATCTCAGAGCCTGTTCCTCTTCAGTTTACTTTGGGATCAAGGCAGGAGTTTTAACTCTTGTCTCTAATTTTGGAACCTTCTTTCATTAATCCAGTTTGGATTTTTCTGTCAGGCAGAAACTCCCATTTTATTGCCTCTGAAGAGTTACTTACCACTATGTCCCAGCTCCTGGCTTGTTTGGCTTTCCAGCCCTCCTCCAGCCTGGTCTCTGAGCCTTCCTGTCTCCCTGCTGCCTTTTAAGATCCTATAAGTCCTGCTATCTCCACCTCTGTCCCCTGCAACGATTAAAAAAAAAAGATCCTGTAATTCCTTTTGGTGCAGCTCAGGTTCTGCTTTTTCCATGAAGCCTTTCCACATTTCTTTATTCTTTTTCAGAGTAGCTATTGCATACAAGGTACTTATTTGGACTTTTTACTGAATGAAGATGACATATTTCTGAAATTACCTAAAATTTTAAAAATATACGTCTGAATCAATTTTAGATTCCTTTCATAAATAAGTAATTCATGTTCCAAGATAACCTATGGGGGAAAGGTTTGTGCTTAAATTAATGAGGGCAAAGAAATAAATCATCTTGATAATGTTCCATGTGGTTATAATGCCATTTAGGTTAGGGGAGCTTCTTGCCGAAGTTTAGAAATGTTTGCATTTAAACAGTATTTGAATTGGATGCACACTCCACTTCTGCCCAAGTTTTAGGTAATCAAAACTACCCTTTTTTCTGCCTGTGGCACAGCTATCAGGCATGGCAGTGCAGGGGCCAGAGAAGGACATTACATGGCTAGGTGTTTTCCACTATTTCTGCTACCTCATGGTATTACCTGAGATCAGGTGTCCTCAGATTTTCTTCATGAAACCACTCGGTGTGGCTTACATACACTGCTTATTGGCAACGTGGTCTTCCCTCTGGTATTTTACATTCAGAGATTCATCAGTATAAATCTGGCTAGAAATCAGATTTGTTGTCAAAGCCAAGGTTCCTCAGAAGCTACTTAGCAAAGATTCAGAGTTGAAGGTTGTTGGGAAAGTGAAATCAACTGCAGGCCTTTGACACATTGAATTGGATTTTGGTCATTAGTGGGGCTGGTGGGGTGGGCGGGGGTGCAGTAGGACAATTCATGCATAAGGGAGAACAAGTCAGCCTGTGCATAAGGAAAACTTTAATTTAAGTTTATGATAACCAAATAGGGCTACTAAGTCCTTGTGAGTTCAACTCTAAATAAGTACATCTTTGCCAAGATCTGGCAATTCTTTTTGAAAGGAGCAAATTGAAGCTGCGATTTTAACTCTTGGTTGAAGTATTTCTTCCTTTTCTCCTATTTCTTTTATGTAACTGGTAAAACTTTATCACAAAATGGAAATATTTGTGCTAATTCAGTGTTTCCAGGGCCTTGCATTTTATCTTTTGCAACAGTGTGCCAATGACTAAATATCTTCACTGCAGCAGTATGGTAATATTAAACAGAGGAGTTGAAAATAGCCATCAGAGGATGAATTGGTTAATATAGGAATGGCCAAAAAGTTTGTTTACTTTTTAAGGTGAGATGACTATAGTGGTGCTTAGTTGTCTTTAACTTCATCCAAAACAATTTTGTTAGATTGTATTGTGAGAGCTGTCACATCAGAGTGCATTAAAAAAACTTATTAAAATTGGTGAATTTTTGTACAGCCATTTTAATATTGAAGATGGAAGAAAATACACAATGTTTTTGGTGTATTATGCCTTATTATTTCAAGAAAGGTAATAACATGACTGAAATGCAAAAAATGATCTGTGCAGTGTATGAAGAAGGTGCTATAACTGATCGAATGTGTCAAAAGTGGTTTGTGGAGTTTCTTGGTATTATTGCTATTTTGACCAAATAATTCTTTGCTGTGAGACTGTCTTATGCATTGGAAGATATTTAGTAGCACCCCTGGCCTCTGCCCACTAAACGCCAATAGTGGAGATAGCCAACATACTCAAAACATCCAAATTAATAAAGTTATTGATGAACATTTAAAATGTATCTTTTATTTTACAGAAAAAACTAAATTGACTTTTTGGCCAACCCAGTACATCCTATTGTAGGATATTGTTCAAATGCTAAGACATGAAGTCTCTCTATGTATAGAAAGGTGAAGAGGATCACAGTATTTGAGGGGGGCAAGATACAAAACAACATATTGTGCTTTGATTTATTGTGCTTCATAGTATGTTGTATGTTTTACAAATTGAAGGCAAGACCCTCTACCAGCAAAAAGATTATGATACACTTTATTGCAATACTCACTTTATTGTGGCAGTACTGGGTGATCTGGAACTGAACCTATAGTATCTCCGAGGTTTGCCTATATACGATGTCCTATTTTTGCTCAGAAAAAAAATACTATGTACTAGTATACAGAAGATACTTAGTAATAATATTAGGTAATATTTATCAGACTCTTACTGTGTATAGCACTATGCTCATTACCCACCCAAATGATGTAATTTAGTTCTCACAACACTTATGAGTTAGGTAATTGTTTAATTGTTTTATAGATGATGAAACAGCAGCCTGGAAAAGTTATGAAGCCTGCCCAGGGTACATAGTAGGTTAGAAGCAAAACTGGGATCCAGCCTGAAGCCTGCACTCCCAGCACCATACTTGATGTGCTTCTTGTTAACATTTGTCTGCTGAAGGATTTATAAGGTGGTCTAACATTTATGTAGTAGAGGCGTCATGTAAGACTTGTACATGAGATTGGTACTGAACCAGGTGTCTTCCAGATCCTTCCCTCACTCTGAATTGGTGTCTGGCTGCAGAAGCCTTTTGAAAGTGTCACTTTTCTGTACAGAACATGCCCCCGCCGAGTGCCTCCCCACCCCATGATGCTATTATTCATTTCGGAATTCAGAGGGCAGTTAGGCTGCTTTATTTTCAGACTTCTTGCTACCTTGATGAGTACTGGATACTTAAACTTCATCTTGCTCTTAAAACATACCTATAACATAATGGCTACAGTCTTAACTGCTAGGATTACCTCAGTCTGTAGTTCACATTAAACATTAGCTCATATTGCCTCCAGGTTTGGAACCAATGTACCCAGAAGAAATTTACAAAGGGACAGCAATGTTGAAATAGTTTAGTGCAAACAGGGGAATTTCTGTGTGCCGACCCAGGACCAAGCTATATTGTCTAAAGTCCCTGTTCGATTCCTCATTTTTCCATTTCATCTTGGCGCCTTTTCCTCTCTGAACTTTCAGCAGTCTGTGCCTGAGCATTCCAGCTCATTCATTGTTAAATGCTTCAGATTAAGTACATATATGTAAAGTGTCTTACTTTATCTCTGAAGAGGTCGCTTCAATGTGGCTTTCATTGCTGCTGCTGCTGATCAGTTGACAAAACTCAAGAACTAGAGCCCCAGAAAAAAAATGTAATGTTCATATTAGAAGTACAGAGAGGATTTGGTCACCAGCATTGTTAGTTGGGATTATTACATCCTATAGTTTTTGCTTCCCACAGTCCACCCTTTGATGCATCAAGTTTTGGGTGATTACTTTTCATTGCTTTCTAGTGATTCCTCCACCCATTATCATTTTCTGTGATCTCAATTCCCTATTGTCCTTGGGCCTGAGGATGCAGATAGATCTGAGAGTGGGAGAGAGTGGAGAAATGCTGTCATTTAGTGCACAAACTGGTTAAAGATATAATCCTGTTTATTGTGGTTTTTTGGTCAAAGCAAAAATAATGCAAGAGTTATGTGAGCAGGATGTTTATCAAGTATATAGAGCTGAATATGTAGATCTTTAATTTATCATCTGGATACTTTGGGGAACTAACTGGCATTTCCCCTCAAGAGTTCTTTCCAAAAAAACACATTGTTTTATTTTAAAAAGCTCAGATGCTTTTTAAACATCTTCCTTCTTATTGTGATTGACAGCATTGTAGAGAAGTTGACAGCTTAGGTGATTTCTATTAGCAGAAAAATGTGGACTGAAAAGCTTTTCCTTGAAAATGAACCTGTTATGTAACATCTAAGCAGACTCAGAGTACAGGTGCATGCTTTTGCTCTGAGAAGGTGGAAGAAGGGGAAGAGCCCAATCCAGACAAAGTGTTGGGGAGCAGGGGGAGCACCCAACTGCAGAGGCACCCTGTTTTACCTAACCATATTTCCGGAAAAATAGTTTCTTGCTGCCTGTTTGTATCCCTGAGTAAACACAGGCCCCCACCCTCCAACATGGGATGTTAACCTTAGAACGATAGGGAGATTAGCTGCAGAGATGAAACAGAGGCCTGAAAGAGCTTCAGTTCTGCTGAATCTATACAACCTTCTTCTTTATACATTGACCAGATGTTAAGGCTGGGAAAATTAGAGCTAAAGACCAAAATTCCTCAAGGTTAAAAAAGACCCCTCCAGGAAATGGACTCCTCCAATTTTCTCACATGATTATGCAGGCACTTTCACTTTTCCATATATAGGAGTCACTCGGGAGCAAGCTCTGACCAGTCGGAGGGAGCGGAGGAAGCCACACATCCACGTTCAGCTCCTCCCTTCTCACCCATCCTCACCTTACTCTCGAATGCTCACAGGCAGTTAGGCAGAAGTGCTCCCTGTGGTCCTGCCAGAGATAAGTCTGTTGGGTTTAAGAAAAAAAAAACGAGGCAAAGTAACGGCCTTAAAATTGTTGCCTTGAAGAAGCTGGGTGGAGAACTGTGAAAAGATGAATGGGCCAGTGGATGGCTTGTGTGACAATTCTCTAAGTGAAGAAGGAGACTTCATGTTCACATCAGAATCTGTGGGAGAGGGACACCCAGGTAAGTAGGTTGGTTGACCAGGACCGAAGCTGACCTGTGCTGAGTGAGTTGCTTTTAGTAGAAGTCTTAAAACAGTTTGTGTTAGTTACTATAAGGGATCTCTGGAGGAACAATATGAAGTGTTCTTACTCTATTTGTAGTTTTGTAAAACAATCACTCATATGCAAATGATAAATTGTAAGTTAATGAAGCTGAGGGTTCATGCTGCCATCATCCCAGACATCTCAGCATGGTGGGGCTGCGACAAAGAACACGCAGCTGGTTGTCTAGAGATAATCATGGACATAAAATACGTCATTAGATACAAATATTTTATGTATTTTTTTTAGTAAATCTTTGATTTGTTATCAATGAGCAACTTAAGTCAACAGAGAAGATTCCCTCAAATAAGTGACTTAGTGGGCCACTAAGTTTTTTATGTAAAGCACATATAGTTTGTTTGTTTATCTTCATCTGATGTCATTTTTCATTGCTTTTAAAGAGAGGAGAAGGAAAAGAGAAACATTTATGTGAGAGAGAAGCATTGATTCGTTGCCTTCCTGTGCACATCCCAACCGAGAATCAAACCCACAACCTTTTGGTTACATGGATGATGCTCTAGCCAACTGAGCCATACTGTCCAGGGCCAAAAGCATGTGTAGTTTAGAAATGAATGGTACTGCATTCTAATAGGTGCTGAGATTGATCTCTAGGTTCTGGAAGTCTCAGAAATGTTATCTAAAAGAAGTAAAGATGACTTCTTGAAGAGGAAAGAAATTCAAGGGTTTTTTTTTTTTTTTTTTTTGTACCTGGAAGGTAGGGGGACTGTGATGTGGGGAAATGAGAGAGGCTTCTGTGGTGACAGTGAAGGCCATAATCAGAGCCTCAAGTTTTAGAAGAGTGGTTCTCAAACTTCAGAGTAAAATGTGAGTGTTGGGCCCCACCCCCAAACTTTCTGATTTAGTAGGTCTTAGATAAGGCTTGAGAATCTGCATTTTTAATAGGTTCCCAATCTGCTGTTGGTATGGGAAACACACTTTGAGACCATTGTTCTAGGAAAACTCCAGGGGGCTAAACACACTGATTTATGTATTTAAGTGCTTCTTCAAAATTCATTTGAGTAGTTGAACTTTTGGGTAACTTACCACCAAGTCTACCTTTATTCTTCATCCTCCTCATTCTTGTTCCTTCTCAAAGAGATTTAACTTCTATACCTTGTAACTCAGCTTTAGACATCTCAAAATACACTACTCCTTCTATATGCTTTAGTCAGTGGTTCTCAACTGGGGCGCTTTTGTCTCTTTTCACCTAAGGGTATTTCAAAATGTCTAGAAACATTTTTGGTTGGAGGGGGTTGATATATGGACATTTGGTGGGTAGAGGCTGGACATGTTTCTAAACACCTTGCATGCGCAAGACCATCCCCCTACAACAAAGAATTTTTCAGCCTCAAAGGTCAATAGTACCACTGTTGGGAAACCTTAGGTTTTGTAAGTGACCTACCTGAATTCAATGTAAATAGCCTCTTGTGTTATGCATAGTTTTATAAAGTTTCTAGGTTCACTGTACTCAAAATCTCAGATCCATTGCTATGTCTGTCAAATTCTGTACAGCTTCCTGGCTTTTGAAGGCCATGCATAGGTTGGGATTTGCTCTGCCTAGAGGAAGTGGGTTGTTTTGGCCTGAAGTAGCCAGTGTTCCCATGGTACAGACAGCAATGTGTTCAATGGACAGAGAAGGAAAATTCCAGCCAATTGATTGTTTTCTCTACTGAATGGCAGACCTTCAGTTTGTCTAATTCTTTCACTCACCAGTAAAAATTACCTGTCCTCATAACTAAGTCAGTTTTCACTAACGTTTGGTGGCTTTCTGCTTGTTACTCCAGGGCTAAATTCCTCTCCACCGAAAACATAAAGTTAATGCTTTTTTAACTTCCAAGAAAACTAACTATTGGCTACCTTAAGGCTACTAAGTGAAAATGATAAAAATTTCCAAAGCCTAAAGAAACAGTTCTGAAGGGCCTCCTTAGATGTTCTCTTAGTCTGTCAAGCTAACTTGATACCCTTGCTCAACTCCAGCTTTATCCCTAATATTCCTTATCCCATTTCCCTGTGTGCACTGGGGCCATGTGACCTGTGTCCTTTCAACAAGTAGAGTCATCATGATCAGCATGTGAGTAGCTCCTAAGAGTCCTGATGGGTAAGCCTAAAGTGGGTATTTGAGCTGTGGGAGGTCTGTATTGGTAGGGGTACACAGAGGCTGTGGACTCATACAAATTTAGATTTACAACCAAATCTGCCACTGCAGGTGAATAGATAGAAAAACTCAAAAGTGTGTGTTTTTTTCTCTTTTTAAAATTTTTCAATTACAGTTGACGTTCGATGTTATATTAGTTTCAAGCGGTTAGACATTTATATATCTTAGAAAATGATCACCCTAATAAGTCTATTACCCATCTGACATCATACATAATTGTTACAATATTAATAGTTCCCTATTACTATATTCCCTATACTGTACTTTACATCCCCATGTAAAGCTACTACCAATTTGTACTTCTTAACCCCAACTCCCTTTTTACCCGGTTCCCTAACTCCCCTCCCTTGTGGCAACCATCAGTTTGTTCTCTGTGTCTACGAGTTTGCTTCTGTAGTGTTTGTTTATTTTGTTTTTAGATTCCAGATATTAGTGAAATCACGTGGTTTTTCTCTTTCTCAGTCTGACTTAACATAATACCCTTTAGATGCAGCCATATATTTAATAGCACTTTCTGGAAAGAAAAATTGGGGAGTTCACTTTTAATGACAAATTAACATTTTTAATTATAGACCTTAATATGTGCTTGTGAGAGAACTGCTTGATTCTGGATCCAAATTCTTAATTTAAAAACTTTTAAAAAATAAGAAAAATATATGGAAACATTCAGAGGTGATAGATATGGTTGTTACCTTGATCTGGTGATCTAGTTTGCATGCATATGTCCAAACTTACCACATTGTGTATGTTAATTATATGCAAGTTTTCAGACCAATTACATCTCAATAATTCTGGAATAAATCTTATTAATTTATTAAGAGAAGACTCTATGGTTATTTTGAACACTAAATGAGTATAGTATGTATAAATAGATGTCACTTTTATTTCTGAATTTGTGAATTTTGGCAGTTCACATAAACCCAAAGCAAGAGCAGATTTTTCCACAGTGCTATTGAGTGGTGTATATGCTCATCCATGCAGAGCTTTTAAAGCAAATACAGAACAAGGTCAAATGCCAGCTCATGCTGAACTCTTGTCAGTACCACCTTGACTAAGGAGGTCAAAACCAACTGTTAGAACATCTAGGCTTAGGAGGCTGAGTGACTGTGGTTACATACAAGAACTGCTTGTGGAGATGTTCTGCAAAACAGCAATGATGTGCAGAGGTTCTCTTACAGAGTTTTTCTGCATGGAGTCGTGGAACTAGGCATGGTGTTTTACAGCCACAGTGCAGTGCATCTGGTTGTCTCTTCTGATTTTACATCTTGGCACCTAATCTCACTGACGTTATTGGCTACTTAAGCTTCTATAGTGAGGACTTTTCTAGATCTTAGAATTAAATGGGATGTGCTAAGGAATGAGATACTTTTCAGTTTGAAGAATGTGTGTGTTTCTTTTTTTAGAGAATTCTAGATTTTATACGTCATGCAAAACTAGGCAGACACAGGAATAAATTAAATTTAAAAAAATTTCTAACATTTAAAAAAGTGTCCTCTTAGGTAGATTTGTTATATAAACTGACTAGATATTTGATTATTTTAACATTAGTTTGTTACACCTAGTATTTCCACGATTCTTAAACATGTTCATTCATTTCCAGACAAGATCTGTGATCAGATCAGTGATGCAGTGCTAGATGCCCACCTGAAGCAGGACCCCAATGCCAAGGTGGCCTGTGGTAAGAAACGCCTGAGCCCTTCCCGCAGGAGACATAAGTTGCTGGGCGGGAACCTTTTGCCTGTGTTGAAGCTCCCATCTCAGCAGGGAGTTGGGAGGGCCATGGGGTGATTAAGTCTACTCCTCTCACTTTACTAAGCGGGTAGTGGATATAACTGAATCAGGGTCTTGGCCAAGCTCACAGGTAGTCGTGCCTACCATGGAGACCACAGACAGCCTCACTCTTTCCACTATCGGTGCCCTGTGCTGTCTGCTGCACAGAGCAATCTTTCCTTCTCCAGTGCCATCCTAGCCCCTGTATAAGGACTAGGGCCCTGTGCCTCTCTGCGGTCAGACTTCACCCTAGCATCTCTGTAAACAGCTGGAGAGAAGGCTGGCCTGCCTTTATTTCTTGCTCAAAATATCACTCCCTAAATGCAGTGGAGTTTTAGCAGTAAAGGAGTGGAAGAGCTCCACATATGCTGACCTGTTGACCTCATTCTTTTTTTAAAAATATATTTTATTGATTATACTATTACAGTTGTTCCCTTTTTTCTCCCCTTTACCCTCTCTGTCCTGTAGCCCCCTGCCTCCAGCATTCTCCCCACTTAGTTCATGTCTATGGGTTGCACATATAAGTTCTTCGGCTTCTCCTTTTCCCATACTATTCTTAACCTCCCCCTGTCTATTTTGTACCTATTAATTATGCTTCTTATTCTCTGTACCTTTCTCCACATTCTTTCCCTACTTCCTCCCCATTGATAACCCTCCATGTAATCTACATTTCTGTAATTAACTTCCTATTCTAGTTGTTTGCTTAGTTTGTTTTTGTTTTAGGCTCAGTTGTTGATAGTTTTGAGTTTGTTGTCATTTTACTATTCATAGTTTTCATCTTCTTTTTCATCTTCTTTAACATTTCATATAATAAGGGATTGGTGATGATGAACTCCTTGAATTTGACCATATGTAGGAAGCACTTTATCTGCCCTTCCATTCTAAATGAAAGCTTTGCTGGATAGAGCAATCTTGGATATAGGTACCTGCCTTTCATGACTTGGAGTACTTCTTTTCAGCCCCTTCTTGCCTGTAAGATCTCTTCAAAGAAATCAGCTGACAGTCTCATGAGAACTCCTTTGTAGGTAACTGTCTCCTTTTCTCTTGTTGCTTCTAGGATTCTCTCCTTAATTTTAATCTTGAGTAATGTAATTATGATGTGCCTTAATGTGTTCCTCCTTGGGTCCACATTCTTTGGGACTCTCTGAGCTTCCTGGACTTCCTGGAAGTCTATTGCCTTTGCCAGATTGGGGAAGTTCTCCTTTATTGTTTGTTTAAATAAGTTTTCCACTTGTCGCTCTTCCTCTTCCCCTTCTGGTACCCCTATAATTTGGATGTTGGAGCATTTAAAGATGTCCTGGAGGTTCCTGAGCTTCTCCTCATTTTTTAGTATCCTTGTTTCTTCATTCTTTTCTAATTGAATGTTTCTTCCTTCTGGTCCACTCCATTGATTTGAATCCCAGTTTCCTTCTTATCACTATTGGTTCCCTGTACATTTTCCTTTACTTCCCTTAGCATAGCCTTCATTTTTTTTCATTTAATTTGTGTCCAAATTCAACCAAGTCTGTGAGCATCCTGATTATCAGAGTTTTGAACTGTGCATCTGGTAGGTTGCCTATCTCTTTGTTGCTTAGTGTATTTTTTCTGGTGCCTTCATCTGTTCTTTCATTTGGCCCATTTTTTTCTTGTCTTGATGAGCCTTGATTACATACTGATGGGTGGTGTCTTGGGTGTTCACCAGGACAGGGCAACCCATGTTGCTGCTTCATGAAGTTGAATGTGAAAAAGGGGTCTGAGGGGGAACAATGGCCTTTGCTCCCCTCTTTGCCAGATTTCAGTCACTTCCCCTGCTTCCCACAAGCTAAGTGTGCCCTTCTGGTGCTGATTCCTGGGTAAGTGGACTTGTATATGTTCTAGGACTCTGTGGGTCTCTCCGACAAACTCTCCTGTGGCCTGGGAGTTTCTTCCACTGCTGCCTCAACCCCCACAGGTGTTTTCAATCTGTGGTTTGAGGCTTTATTTCCCTGCACCGGAACCCTGGATTGTGTGGTCTGTCTCACTCCCCATTTGTTCCTCCCAGTTTATCTGAGCATGAATGTGGGACTGCTGCTTCACCAGCTACTGCCTTGCCTGCCTGGTCCTCCAGCCCGTGCCTTGCCTCAAGTCCTCTCCACACACCTGTCTCTGCCCCTCCTGCGGGTCTGGATGAGTGTGTCTTCTTTAACTTCTTGGCCATTGGACTTCCATACAGTTTGATTTTCTGTCCATTCTGGTTGATTTTTTTGTTTTTAAATTGTTGTTGTCCTTCTTTTGGTTACACGAGGAGGCACAGTGTGTCTACCTACACCTCCATCTTGGCCAGAAGTCTTGACCTCATTCTTTATGATAACTACATATAATCATTGTCTCATTTTACTCCACACTGCAGTCTTATTATTATTTTCATCTAACAGTTGAGGAAATAGAGAGAAACTAAGTAAGTTGTTCATGATCACACAAGCAGTAAGTACTTGGTATGAAAATTCAGGTGTAACCAATTCTGTCCAAAATGTACTTCTCCAGGCATTTGAGGATGGTCACCAACTGTGCTGGAATTTACTCTTTTATTAGCATTATTTTCTGTCTAGAATTCATTCCCGGTAAGGTTCCCCATGAGTCTCTTTATCAGCACTGCTGGCACATGGCCACTACCTTCCCTCCTTCTCTTCCAGAGACAGTGTGTAAGACAGGCATGGTGCTGCTATGCGGGGAGATCACCTCCATGGCCACAGTGGACTACCAGCGAGTGGTGAGAGAGACCATCAAACGCATTGGCTATGATGACTCTGCCAAGGGTAAGGGCAGGGCCCCTAGTCTGAATACATGTTGGTCCCTGCTGAGAGAGCCCCTGATGCTGAGTCCACTGGAGGCTTTCAGTCTTTTGAAAGTGCATGTATCACCAGGGCGAAATCATTCCTAGGTCTGTCTATCTGGGACCAGCAGTGGAAATCTCCTACAACAGATCTGCAGACCAGGTGACAGTGCCCCACTGAGGAGTCTGTGTCCATCCATTGTTAACTCTGGTCTTGTTTAATGTCCTGCCTCCTTGGAGCTTTGGGAAGAAAGAAGCTGTGAGGAAAAGAAGCTGCCCTCTGTTGGGGTCCTCTCCTCTGCTGGGCACTGTGATGGTCTCTTTGTACATGTCATTGAACTTAACTGTTTGAGGGACTCTGCTGTACTTCTTATGCAGATAAGGAAATTGAGGCTTAAAGATGTAAGTAACTTACTTAAGGGGACTTGATCAGTACAGTACATGGCTGCCCCATTTGGGATTCCTGTGCTTTTCTGCTAAACTGTGCTGCTTTGCATTATAGACAAGAAGATGACAATTCAGAACTGGAACTGATAGCAAGCAAAGGAGGCAGGCTAGCCCAGATTGGCACTGGCAGCAGGCAGTGAGGGAGTCTACAACCCAGGGGAGGGGCACAGACCCTGGCAGGATTGCAGGAGGAGCACTGTGGTCACCTGTGGATAAGTGCTGGAAGGAATGGAAGGCCCTGCGAGTGGGCAGGCCAGTAAAGCACCCCACGTGGAGGGACATCAAAGGGCAGGCATGAGGCTAGCTACTGGGAGCCAGTGCCTACTGACATCCCACTTACTTCTCATTTAGGGTGATGCGTGGCATCTTTTTGGATCAGGGCAGGCTAGGATGACATGCCACACATTTATAAGTGAGAGAGCTCACCGTTTGAGGCACAGACACATGCTGGGTGGTGCCACCTTCTGACTCACCTGAACATGTGAAAGTGTTGGATGTTACACAAGAATCACTTGGAAGAGAACCAGTGAGTGCAGGTCAGTTCTCCTAGGGAGGACATGGGCATTAACATAGGCCACACATTGTTCCAGGGCAGCAGCTTCCTGACGTGTGGCCATGTCGAGCCTCCACCCTGTTCTACCATACATTTAAACCTTATTCAAGAGCACACTTTGTTCTGTTAGGGATCAGGCAAATTTCCCAGGAGATAATATCCCCAGGCCTAGAAAGGACAAAGCTCTGTTGTTGACTAACATTTCTGAGTGCTGAGCAGGTCCATGTGCCTGCACCAAAAAAGCTCCATGCATGGCCATGGCCACTGTAGTGAGGACACAGGCTCACCGCTCCTCACAATAGTTTGCTGCTGAGCCCCTGGGCTCACTGCCCTTTCCAAGCCCTGCTTCTCCTTTTAGTTCCCTAAACTACATTTTCCCAAATCACTTGAAGCCCTTGATTGATTTTTAGCATAAAAAAGATGCATTATTTAGATATCGTGATTAGACAAAATGCAAAATATTTCATGAAAATTTGTGAGTCTTTGGTGGCTCTCTCAAGGTTGTTCATTAGTTTGTACCTTCAAAAACATTCACTGGGAGCAGGAGGCAGCCCGAGACAGAGGTAACCTGATATTCCCAGAGCAGAGGCACTGCCTGGCACCGATGGCACAGCATAAGGTGCCCAGTAGGGAGTTGGTGGCATAGTGAGCAAGGAAGAGCTGTGGGAGGGTCCAGAGATATTGACTGAGAGCAATCTGATTGGGGTGTGTAGGAATGGGGAGTAGGAGGAGGAGCATTCTAGGCAGAGAGACATGGGGTGGTAGAAGAGTATGCTGTCTTTAAAGCTACACCCAAGTTCATGTTGGCTTACAAAGTCCATCTGGCAGGGGCAGGGCAGAACTGAGTGAAAACCCCCTCGCAGGGGCAGGAGTTCAAGTTTACTTCATTGGGCAGTAGGTCCTCACTTGAAGCATGCACATAGGTTGAATCTGAGTTTATTGGTTTGTTTGTTTGCTTGCTTGCTTTAGTTAGCCCACTAGCACCATAGGTAGGAGAATAGACTGAAAAGGAGGTACCAGTTAGTCAGCTTGTCACTAACACTAGACCCTGTGGTGGGGCCCCTGTTCACTTTAGCTCCTCATTCACACAGTCCCTAAGCTGAGGCCTGCACAGTTGGAAAACCAACAAGAAGAAGTCTTGCACAGCACTACCTCCTGGGGTGCCTTGGGCTAGGCTGCTGTGAGCCCAGACTTCCCTGGCCCAGTCCCCAGCCTGCTGCACCTGGTCTGGGCAGGACCAGCTTCCATCCTTGTGCCTGAGCTGTGGGGTTGGGCCGACAGGGCCTCAGCCTCCAGATATGTGCTTCTTCCCTTTGGCTCAGAATCTCAGGATCTGAGGACCCTGACTCTGGGAGCCTCTCTGAGTAGTTCATACACACTTTATTTGTTCAGTATGTTTAATACACATGCTCCTTGAATTACCATGGAGTAACATCCTGATGAACCTTTCATAAGTTGAAAATATTGTATGTCAAAAATGTACTTAATATACCTAAACTATGAACATCACAGTTTATTTAGCCCAGCCTGCCTTATATGTACTCAGAACACTTACATTAGCCTATAGTTGGGCTAATCATCTAATGCAGTGACTACACTGTAGAGTGTGGGTTGTTTACCCTGGTGACCATGTGGCTGATTCAGACTGAGCCTCACTGCTCCTATTCAGCTTTGTGAGAGCATATCATATGAATAGTGATGACCCGGGAAAAGATCAAAATTCAAAATTTGAAGTACGGTTTCTATCAAATGCGTATCACTTTGGCAACATTGTAAAGTTGGAAAATCCTCAATGGAAGCATTGTAAGTCAGGGACTATCTGTACTTGGATTTGGTTCATATCTGGGCTTCTGAATGGCAGTGTTAGAAGGGCCCTGGGTTTTCACTCAGTTTAGCAATTGTCAATCTGGGTCCTGGGAAGTGCCTGTGGGAGAGCCCAAGGGGGAAGGACCATGAGTCACCACCTTCTCATCAGCCAAAGCAGCTATAGATGTTATCCAGTTTATATGTATATAGCAGTTCTATGTAGGACATAATTTCTAATCAAGGTGTAATTTAATCCAGTAAAATGCACAGTGCAGAATTTTCTCTAACTAAAGAATTTTACCTCATGGTAAGCATACATGGCCTTCCCTATTCCGGGCATCAGCCCTGGGCCCCGACAGATCCCAGGTAGTTAGAGACCACCTCTGCAGTGCTAAATGCCATGTCAGGAACAGAGCAGTGCCCCAGGGGGCTCACAGCCACCCTGTGTCTGACACGAGCTCCCACTCAGGCCTGTTTTCTCCTCTACCTAGGCTTTGACTTCAAGACCTGCAATGTGCTGGTGGCTTTGGAGCAGCAGTCCCCAGATATTGCCCAGGGTGTTCATCTAGATAGAAACGAAGAGGACGTTGGGGCTGGAGACCAGGTAACTGAACACTGAGCATGGGTGCTGGGTCAGGACATCCGTGCAGTGCAGCTTCTCTCAGCCCTGGCCTCAACATGTGCTGGGGAAGTTCCTGATCAATGGGTTAATCACATTGTGGGGTGACCCCTCATCCTAGAGGATTGTAGGGAGGTACATGCCTGGAGTGAGCTGCACTCCCCTACATCAGGGCAGTGACGTGAGGACCCAACTGGCTGTGAAAGACTGTGGTTGCCGGTGTGGATCTGAGCTAGTCTCCCCCTTGTAGAGGGTTTTGGGCATCAGGCCCACGCCTTCCCCTCCACAAGTTCCTGGTGCAAATGTGCCTGTACGAGGTGCCCAATATAGGTCAGAGTGCAGCAAAGCTTTGGATTTGAAGGAAGTTGTCCTGTGTCTAAAGTGGGTGTTGCTCAGTTGGCTCTCTCCCTTGCCAAAGGGTTTGATGTTCGGCTATGCCACCGATGAGACAGAAGAGTGCATGCCCCTCACCATCATCCTTGCTCACAAACTCAACTCCCGGATGGCAGACCTGCGACGCTCTGGGGTGCTGCCCTGGCTGAGGCCCGACTCAAAGACTCAGGTGAGTCTTCTCTTGCCTCCTTGGGAACTCCAGAAGTACACTTGAGGCACCCCCAAATCCTCCTGATTCTTGTTCCTATTAAGATCAAAATAGTCAATCTGGATACTCAAAGAATTATTGATTTTGAAAATAACTGTTTATTTGAAAAATCTTTAGCTCTAGATGTTTTCTCTCCTCATCTTATTATGGGAAAGACTCAGACCGAACACCAATTTCCTCTAACATTCCCCTCCTTTGATGCTGGCTACTTTAGCATCACTTATAGCTGGTTGTTATTTAGACTTCTAGACTTCAGTAAGTTTTGGTACCTATATTGGTATTATTGGAGGGCGAGGATTTTTGCTGTGGCCCATCTAGTCACGGTGGCCTCTAGAGTCTGGATTATGGTCTGCAATATGCAGGGCCCAAAGCTTATTCCTAGGAAGATAATAATTAAGGGTCCTAGAAAGGGAAGCAGCCACTGGAGCCAGGCTTGAGGATTTATTCCCCAATTTCTCTAATCCAACTTTCTATTTCTTTGGCACAGTGGTTTATGTTCTCCCTGATTTCCTTAACTTTCTTTGCTACAATCCCTGACTGATTTACATAGTAGCAACATTCCTCTCCTAGAAACATACACGTCCCCCCTTTTTCTGCAGTGAGAAGGTCTAGGGCCCACTGGTTCTGGAGGGTGACTTCTGCCAGGGAGTTAATCTGTTGTTGGATTGTAGTTCCAGCAGACCTGTCTACCCAGCGGCCCATGAGGCTGACACTTCTGGCTCTGATACCCTAAACTTCCGACCATAAAGCCTGTGTGATATAGCCTTCCTTCCCAGGTGCAAGTCCCCCCTGCCCCTACACAGTCTGGGGGTGTAGAGGTGCTTGACATGAAATCTCTTGGCTCTATATACTAGCTTACTATGTTGCCTCCTATCCTTATTCTTTTTCCTGATGTGTTGTATTTGTATACTGAGGCTATGACAGGGGCTGAGCAAGCTAAGTGAAATAGAGCAAATATATAGAGATCCAGATGAGACGAGGTATATTTCCCCCAGCACAACCCACTCCTTGGGATCCCATTCTGGGAGAGTTACAGCTACTAGTCCAATTCCTAGGATCACCGCAAGGCTGCCAGCGATGGTCAGGTATCCTCCAGGACAACGGTCTATTCCTTGGGGTCCTTGGGGTCCTCGTCGGTGGCTGGTTTTCTTCTTAACCTCAGGGTGGGCAGCTTTGGCGATGGTGGTTCTGGATCCTTGTCAGCCCTCTGGTTCTTGGGGTGTGCTGCTGCCTTGGTTTGGCTGTAATAGATCCAAAGTGTGATTCCTGCAACTTTAAGGGTGGCTGGTGTAGTTAATATGACTAAATGAGGCCCTGTCCATGTGGGTTGGAGGGGCTCCTTTTTCTAATCTTTTACCTACATATAGTTTCCAGGCTTATGTGAGTGGGCTGGTCCCCCTCATAGACAGGGTTCTTGGCCTAATCTGTCCTGGTGTATCTGGCTAAGTGTTTCCCCTAGCTTCTGGAGATACCTAGTCTGTCCTGCTTCCCCAAGAACTTTAAGCTCTCCCCTGGGCAGGGTCAGAATAGCTGGTAGCTTGCTGCAGACTAGCTCGAATGGTATGTACCCCCAGTGGGGTTTGGGGCATTTGAATTCTGAACAGTGCTAATGGCAGCAGGTCAGGCCAGGGTAGGTTAGTCTCTTGATGAAATTTGGCCAGTGTCTCTTCCGGAGTCCAATTCATACGTTCTACTTTTCCTGGACTCTGAGGGTGGTAGGCAGTGTGCAACTTCCAATTAATCCCTAGCTAAGTTGCAAGATCTTGGATCACCTAGGCTACAAAAGCGGGTCCATTGTCACCCCCTATGCTGGTGGGCAGTCCAAACCTTGGAATTGTTTCTCTAAGCAAGGCCTTTACTATTTCCCTGCTTTTCTCTGTGTGAGTGGGGAATGCCTCTACCCACCCAGAGAATGTGCAGACCATCATGAGGAGGTTTTTGTATCCTTTGCTAGGTTTTACCTCCGTAGTCTATTTGTAAATCCTCAAAAGGCTGTAATCCTTTGTATTGAACTCCCATTGGGGTCTTTGGGTGACTTGCTGCATTGTTCCAGGCACAGGTCAAGCACTGTGTTGAGGCTGTAGCACATAGCGTAGACATGTTGGGGAAGTAACAGTATCTCTTAAGTCTCTAGGGACATTTTTTTCAGGTCAGTGAGGGCATGGTATTGCCTTACCAGGTTGCTGGCTTGGCTCTGTGGGATGTAGAGCTGGCCATCTGGCAGCTTCTATGTCCCAGAGGCTGTTGGTAGGCAGCCCTCTTGCACTGCCCACTTCTGCTCCTCGGGGGTGTCAGAGGTCTCCTTCAGAGCCATCAGCATAGTTGCCACCTCTGGGCCTGTGGCTGCTGCTTTTGCTGCCCGGTCAGCTCTCTGGTTTCCCCTGGCTATTTCTGTTATCAGTGGTCCTTGTCGTGAGCTTATCAGCCTCTTACAGGAGGGTGACTGTAGCTGCTACGGCTCTGAGGCAAGGTGGCCAGCCTGCTGCTACATTGTCCAGTTGTTTGGATAAGTAAGCTTAGAACTCGCTTTCCTTGAGAGATGATAAACCCCAGATATTTCACTTGAGTCTGGCATATTTGTGCTTTTTTTTTTTTTTTATGACACCTGGTACTCTGTCCTGGTTAACAGTTCGAGCATCCGACAAGTGCCCTCCCAGCACCAGTCTCGGGTCAATGTGGCTGAAAGAAGGTCATCTATATTAACTGTAGTAACACTAGGTCAGCTCCCTCTCTGTGAGTGGCTTTAGGTCTCTGGCCAGGGCCTCTCTGAAGAGAGTGGGAGAGTTTTTGAAGCCTTGTAGCAGCCTGGTCTGGGTCTAAGCCAGCTAGGCTGAGGATTGTAGGGGCCTGTGACCCTGGTCTCTGTCGCCTGCCAGTGGGCTTTCTTTTTGGGGCACTCTCTTTTCTAGTACCCCATCTCTCTGCAGTAGGCACACTGCTCTGGGTCTACGCTCAGGTGTGCCAGTCTATTTCCTCTCTCAGAGGGCTGTTTCCCCCCTTCTTAGGCAATCTGGTGGCTCCCCGCTCCCAGGAGGTCACTATATGGACGCCGAACTTAGTGCGGACACCCGACTGGCATAGCGCACTATAGCCCAGAACTCCTGGGCTCAAGCAATCCTCCTGGCTCAGCCTCCCGAGTAGCTGGGACTACAGGCGCCCCACCGTGCCCGGCTGTTGGTGAAGATGTGCCTTATGACTTTGGTATGGGGACCATTAGTAATCTCTGTCTCATAGGGGAGGGTTTCCTCTTCACTAGGTTATTGGTGGCAAAGATAGAGAAGGCATCTGGTTCCCCAAAGAACCCACTGCCGGGCTGTCAGCGCGGGCAGGCTCAACTGCACTATCTGGCCGTCAGGGGTCAGCTCCGCTGGTGCCGGGGAAGGCCCAGGAGGTCTGCACAGCTTGATGGTCGGCGCGTGATGGTGGAAGTGACTCTGCCCTTTAAGTCTCCCACGGCACCACCCCTACCCGAGGGGCCACCTGAGCCACCCCACGCTCCTAGCTCGATCACGGGGGCGGGGGGGGGCGGGGGGGCGGGGGGGCTCATCTCCTTTGCGATGCCATTTAGCAGGGCAAGGTGCAGGGGGGCGCCATGCGGGCATCGGCAGCCTCCATCCCTCTGGAGGGGGGGGTCACTGTCTACAGCCTCGCTGGGTGGCTGCTCCGTCATTCTGGGGCATATTTGGAGGGGCTGACTCCTCTGAACAGGGTCTCTACTCCACCGCCAGAGACCCGCAGGAGCCGGGGTCTAGGTCGCAGATGCGGGTCTTTGCTTCCCCGGGTCTGGCCGAGAGTTTCTGGAGCATATGGGGGAGGCAGACCGATAGGTGGCTCTTCCTTTGGCTCTTCTTTGAAAATGGGGGCAGCAGCACCGTTTCTCTTGACCGGGTGATTAAAACGCGGTACTGCGCGTGTTTGTAAATGTACTGATCTGAGTGTCCTGGCTTGCCTGTGACTTTTAAGTGCACTGCCCAAATTATCTCTAAGTTCAGGGTTCCCTCACCCCTAATGTTGGTCCCTACCCCAAATGTTGGCTACTCTGATGTACAGAAAGTTTCTAATTGGTCTCAAGTCATGTTTGGGTCCTGGCCCCGAAACAGATCAAAGTTCTGCAACATGCAGTTTAGTACTGTTGAGGGGCCTGTGCCCATGATGTCCCTCCCACAGTGGTGCAGACAAACAAAGGGATGGGGTTTTCAGTTTCACCCACCTGGCCTCTCCTCTCTCCAGGGATTTGGGTCTGTCTTAGCTAAGGCTGCCTGTGTAGAATCCTGGTTAAACTCCCAGCCGTTATGCCATATGACAGACCGAGGAACCACAGGGTGGGGCCCACTCAGACTCCATAGGTTTTTCACCCGCGGAGCCACAAACTCAAGTCACTCGCACAAACACACAAACAAACATCTGTGAATTTAATACAGTCCCACCTGAGCAGGACTGCCCTAACCAAGTGGGGATACGTTTCCCCTACAAGTGGCCAATTGGCCTTTAAAGGACTTAGGCTAATTGCCTGCCTGAGAGGTGATCCGTCTCTCCTTATACCACAAGGGGTGGGTGTAGTCTTGGGTCCTAGTTCCTGGGGCATTTACCAATCCAAAGGCTGTGCAGCTCCCCAAGCTGGACCAGTTCTCTCCCTCTCCAGCCGGGTAGAGAGTGAGTCTCACTGGCAGCTAACCACAGAGTCCTGGATGGGTAAGGACCTGAAACAGCTGGGGCGCATGCTTCTCCTCCCTCACAGGGCTCCACAAAGCTCCCAAGGCCACCTCACCAGAGGCAAACACCTGCTTGTGTGAGTTGTTTCCCGGTCAGGGAACCAAAATGTTACGGGAAAGACTCATACTGAACACTGGAGGAAGAGAAGTGGAACCTTTATTACACATGTGGACCCAGAGGAGGCAGTCTCCAAATTCTGGGCCCTGATCAGCGGGGAACAATTGCTTATATAGGGTGAGGGGCAGTCTGTCACTTAGACCACTACTTCTGGTATGAAAGCAAGAAGCAGCTTACAGAAACAAAATGTTATCTCTAGCACAGGGGCAATCATTATCTCTGTCACACAGGGACAAGCAAGAAACAAAGGAAAAAATAAGCCATAAACAAGTCATTCCCTGGGTGCTGTGCAGTGTTTTAAAATAATTGCCAATTTCCTCTAACAATCTTAGTATAAAAATTTTCAAAAGAACAAAAAAATGAATAGAATTTTTTAAAGATTTTTTTGCCTTCTTAGCCTGTGTTGACTCTGGTTTTATGATTCTCCAGTTCCTACCACACTTCTCAACTGGTTTCAAACTTTGGGTCCCTGCCTTGACACAAAAACAGGCCTCCACATCCTAAACAAGCCCCGAACGTCACCTGAACAAAGATTTTTTGCCTCTATCTGGAGCTCTTTTTCTTGGTTCCTCACAAAAAACACTTTATCTTTGCTTTTTCTGACTCTGGCCCCTTCGGCTCTTTACCACCTTGCTCCCTACAGTGTTGAAATCCCCACTGAAGTCTGTATTTGAAGGCCCATGCAAGTGTTAGAACACCTGGATACCACCTTTCCACCTTCCCTGTCCACAGCCTTCCCTGTTTAACCCTGATGTCCTGGGTGGCCCTTTTCCTTGGGGTTCCTCTTCCACAGCTTCTTGGCACTTCTTCCACACTCTTTCCCCTTCTATCTGTGCTAGTGGACCCAATTTTTACCTCAGCTCACTCAACACCCAAATCTTCCAGCTGCAGTTCTCTCTGAATCACCAGCTGCATTTTTCATTCACTCTGCAAACAAATGTGCCCAAGAGCCCACTGTGTGCTGCTGCACTGTCGCCTCAGCTGAGGGGAGTTCCGTGGAAGGCCACCTCTCCCCCAGGGCTGCTAGGCACCCTGTCTCCCCTCCCCTGTTCCCCACACAGCACCCCTCTGCTCCAGCCCATGGCCAGGGCCAGGGCCAGGAGCAGTGCCTGGCCTGCCCAGCCCAGCCCTCCCAAGGGTTTTTCCTGCCAGGAAACTCCAGTTAATTTCCTTTGGGCTTTGCTTAGAATTTCCTGATATCTGCTCAGATTCTTCTACAACTTTCTGCTTTCTACAGGGGAGAGAGAAACCCCACTTGTTATTCTGACATTCAGAGCCTTTTATAGTCTTTCAGCATTGCCTTCCTCTGCCTCCCCTCCTTCAATCTTTGCTTAATCTATATTACTTTACTCATTCCCCCCTTGTTTCTCAGTGCTTTGCCCCTGTGCTTTCACCTTGACTATTACTTGGGCTTGTTCTCTGGTTTCCACCTGTCTTGTCAGTTGTCAGCCAAGTCCCCACCTTCTCATGGTTGCCCTGGGCACCACCAGATGGGCCTTCTCTTGCCCCTGCACTTGGAATTTAGCTCATGTGACTTTACAGTTCAGCATGGTGCATGTGACCCATCCATTGCTCCAGCTGCAAAGACTAGGGTCCTCGTCACCCTGCATGTAAGACCACAAAGGGTGGAAGAGGTAGGTTAGCTGTACCTGGGGCAAGAGAGCGCATTTGTGGCCTAGAGGAAACCCAACCTTGGGATTTGTAATGTGATTTCCATGCCCCAGCAGTAGGTGGGGTGGAATCAGCAGCATTCCTCAGCTTTTGTTTGAGGTCATGGGGCAGAAGAGCTCAAATGCGAGATCATGATGATGCCAGAAGGAAGGGGTACATAGATGTCACCATGCCCTGCTCGTCCTGTACTTGGGCTGTTGTCGGGCTGTGTTGACAGAAAAGGCAGTCCCAGAACAGGGACAGGAGGAAGTGGAGGAGCAACTGAGCTTTCCTTTTCCCTCTGTGAGATGAGGGCTGGAGCTTCACATGTAGCCCCAGCTGAAGTATAAAGGCTTTCTTTTTGCTGATTAATAGGTTTCCTAGCTGCAGAGGCAGCCAGGGAAGACCAGGGTGGGGGTGGGCTCATTCAGGGTTTCCCTGAAGTAAGGTTTCCCTTCCAGCAAGGACACATTGAATTCTCTTAAAAATGCTACTTTGGCTACAAGAGTGGGCCTGGCTCCCCTGCCCTAGGTGGTCCCAAGCCAGCTGGCAGTTAGAGGGCCAGTGTGGTTCTGCTGACAGCTCCTGGACCCACAGGTGGCTGCCCTGTGGTGGACACTGTGCCAGTGCCCACTGCTAGGCTGTCTTCTCTCTACCATATCAGTGAAGGATTTTCATCATCTACCCAGTGTTGGCTGTGAACAGGACAAACCTTTCCACCTGAACAAATTCCTCCTGCTAATATGGAGAATTGGGTGGCAACATGAGAGCTATTTTTGCGCCATTCTGAGTTGTGATTTCCGTGGTGTGTTTTTCCCCTGACACGAGGAGATAAGAGCCATCCTCCAGCCCTTTGCCTTGCCACAGTTCTGTGGTTCTTCAAAGATGCTGCTTAGGACTTGCAGCAAAATGGGAGATCGGGAAGCAGCAGCTCCTTAGGACGTGAGCCTTTTCCTGAGGCCACCCAAGGGGGCATATCTAGTCCTAGAGCCAGCCACAGGCTCTCCCCTTCTGGGAGCCCCCCAGCTCTTGTCCCCTCTCATAGGGCCCTGAGTGTGCACAGCTAAGCAGTTAAGGTTTGCTCCAAGTCCACAGATGTTTGCGTGCATGTGCCCATCTCACAAGGGTCAGGCTTCATGTGGGAAGATTCTTTCTCTTCTTTTTTCTGGACCCCATCCTGTTGCTTTATGGGCCAGATAGACAGAGAGCAAGAGTCTGACATAAGTCCAGTGTTCAACAGATATCTGAGTGCCTTGGGTTTGCAGAGACCTTACTGCAGGCATGGGCCCAGGAAGGAAGGCACTGCTTGTGGTCCCGTGGCCCTGTCAAGGCCCTTGGGTGGGAAGAAGTGCTGTGACTACCAGCCAGTGTCTCTCCCAGGGCTACCTGGCACAGTTGCACTCCTCCAGGCCCCATAAACTCCATAGTCCCTCTAGGTGCTGCTCTTGTGGGTTAATACTGATTGGGTAGCAGTGGGGCCTGTGGTTCCAGCATAAATCAAGAGGGTCTTGAGTGACAGCCTCCAGCTTCTCAGAGCCCCAGCTACCAAGCCACACAACTTCAGGTCAGAGCCTGCTTTGCTGGCTGTGTGACTTCGACCAAGGCATTTATGTTGTGAAACCTCAGCTTTCTTGTCTTTAAAATGGGACTAGTAACAGCTTCTCATAGCTTTCGGCATGGTTTCTAGCATACAGTGCACACTCAGTCAATGCTAGTTTCTTTTCCCAGCCTCATCTGCCATTTTCTTCCCTCTCACTCTGCAAGCCCAGAGCGCTTAGGCTGCTCTCCTTTGTGACTACAATCAGACCAGGCTGTGATACCAGGTTCTTATGCTCACTGAGGTGTCAGTGAAGGGTGGGGGAGGGGCACTGGGGAGAAGCATTTTTTCTGTGCTGCTGTGGGAATGACACAAGCTTTTGGATCAGGCAGTGCAGGGTTTGGCTCTTGGGCTTTTCACAGACTGGCATGTGACTTAGACAAGTTGTTTCACTTCACATAGGCTTGTTTTTCTCATTTGCAAAGTGGAGATAACTGATAATGCCTGTCTTGCCAGAATGGCTTAAATATTAGTTGATAATGCACAGAATAAGCATGAACTGGCCCATGCTGGTAGAAGTTATATTAGATCTGAGCCTGTGGCCTGATCTGCAAGGGTCCTGTGGGCAGGTTCCATCCCTCAAGATGCTCTCTGCTTCTCTTTCATTTACCAAAACACTCAGAGCTGGCAGTCACAACTGGCAACTTCCTCTGTCTCAGCCCCCCGAACTGAGTCTCCCTCACTTTGTCCCCATATCCAGGAAGTCTGCTGGCTCTATATACTTCCAGAGCTCCTCCACTGAGAGGCTGGGACAGCAGGCATGTGGCCCATAGACTCCTGTGTCCTTGGAAGAAGCCAGGATAGCTTAACCCTGGGCCATAGAGGGTCAGGAGAAGGCTTTGCCAGGGGACATTTGTTGGTACCCAGAACCCTTTGAAAAAGCAGTAGAGGAGGCCTATGGGTCATAGAGAGGAAACTATAAATGCCGAAGTCTCCAAGTGGCAATAATTGTGGTTACAGGTGGTACTAGCTTACGCCTCATGCCCAGTCATCCCAGAGCCCTGGGCAACTATTCAAACAGCAGCATGTGCCAGATTAACATTCTTGAAGACCCTTTGAAGACAAGAGGGCTCGTTGGTTCCTGGGAGCCCTTGCTGCTTCTGTGCCTAGCACTGATATATCCTCAACTCAGGACATGGCCTCATGATGTCTCCTCTTGCCCTACTGACGAACAGGTGACAGTTCAGTACATGCAGAAGAATGGCGGAGTCATCCCCGTGCGCATCCACACCATTGTCATCTCCGTCCAGCACAACGAGGACATAACGCTGGAGGACATGCGCAAGGCCCTGAAGGAGCAAGTGATCAGGGCTGTGGTGCCGGCCAAGTACCTGGATGAAGACACCATTTACCACCTGCAGCCCAGCGGGCGGTTTGTCATTGGAGGTCCCCAGGTGCGCCCTGGTCTCTGAATGAGGCCCTGATTTGTCTGTTACCTCCCCAAGCCCAGAGACTGTAGGAGGGGGCTTTGTGTTACTCAGCCTGGTCTGGCCTTGGACAAAATGCGAAGTCAGCTCACTCTCTGTGAACAGCTTGCTCTGTATTAGGGACATGTCCTTAGAATTCTTCCACTAGTGCTGTCCTCCCTACTCCAGACATCCCACAGTTGATGTCATACTTGCCCAAGCAGCTGCTGCCTTATCTGTTAATGTGCTAACTTACCATTGCAAATGACTGACTTTTGCCAGGTGGCGCTCACCAGGTTTTTGCCACGGGTTCCCTTCAACTCCTATGGGCAGCAAGATAGGAAAATTTATTATGTGTGGACATCTGCTGCCCCCTTCCTCCTGTCCCACAGGAGTGAGGAAGTAGAGATTAGCACAGCACTTCTCTGAGGCTGCTGACCTCTGCCAGGGACCTCAGTGGTGAATGCGTTGACAAAGAGAAGAACACCCGTAACAAGTCCTATGACCAAATGTTGTGCAGACATACATGTTGAAAGAAAGGTCAAGTTCATTATATTTTCTGCAGGACTCTCGAAGGCTAAAAATATGAGTGAATGATGGATCTCTAAGCAGGGATGAATAGTATGCACTTTTTTCAAATCATTTAACACAGAGCCCCTGCCACCTTTTAAAACATCTTTACTGACTGGTGTTGCACAGAGCAGACACGTGAGGGAACAAGCCACATGCCCTTTACTGGGTGGTACCAGTGAGGGCCACAGCTGAGGGTGTGTTGATTATAGCACAGCTTCCTCCTGCAGTTGGATTTCTCCACTATGATTGACTCATAAAAACAAAGGTATTGGGAATGGGCTGTGAACCCAGCTGGCTCATTGTTTGTACTTTCTGATGAGGTTCTGACAGCCTACCTGGCTTCTGCAGCCCGTCAGTGACTGATCTGGAATTAGAGTCAGGGTTTCTGGCTGAGTCCTAGACAAAGAATCTTGGAAACATGCCCCCAGGCAGCTGCAGGGTACGTTCCAAGTTGCAGTCCAGTGGCCTTCACAGTGCTCCAGCATCTCTCCTCCCCATCCAGCCATGTAGGGGCTCTGGTTCTCATCCCCCCGCCATTTCTTCCTTTCCTTCTGCAGGGGGATGCAGGCGTCACTGGCCGTAAGATTATCGTGGACACCTATGGCGGCTGGGGGGCACATGGTGGTGGGGCCTTCTCCGGGAAGGACTATACCAAGGTGGACCGCTCTGCGGCTTACGCTGCCCGCTGGGTGGCCAAGTCCCTGGTGAAAGCAGGGCTCTGCCGGAGAGTCCTTGTGCAGGTGGGTAAGACCCTATGCCACTTTGACTGCACCAGCTCTGGCGGGAAGGCCACATACTTTGCCGAAGGATATGACTCTGTGTGTCACATTAGGCACTATGGCCAATACCCTGAAAAGGTGGGACAGAGAATAAAAATCTTCAGGGAGAGGGCTGTGCACAGAAACTGTTCACAATGAAGATGGCAGGGATTTCTAGGCAGGCGGGGTGGGGGGGAACATGTTGGGCAAGAGGTGCCTAGTGTGGCCCTTTTGAACCACCATGAAGTGGTTCCAGTTGCCCTTCCTGAGGACAGAAAAGTTTCTGTGAAGGACAGACCCCTGCTCAGAGGCTCTGGTCCCTGACCCTGGTCTCTTCTGGAAGGTGTCTTATGCCATCGGGGTGGCCGCGCCACTGTCCATTTCCATCTTCACCTACGGAAGCTCTCAGAAGACAGAGAGAGAGCTGCTAGATGTGGTTAACAAGAACTTTGACCTTCGGCCTGGGGTCATTGTCAGGTAAATATGTCACCTCACACTCGTAGCGGGACACACTCAGCTCAGCTGAAAGGGAAACGAGCAGAAAAGTGTTTGAGTTCTTGGCCCAGCGCAATGCACAGCCCAAGTGTAGTGTTCAAGTTGAGGGGGCTGTGTAAGATCCCTGCAGGCCTGGCAGATGCTGACTCCAGGTGGAGGTCTTAGGAAAATAATTATAAGGCCAAATGGCTAAGAATTCAGTTGACAAGTCTAGTCCCATCTGTTGTCATCTCTAACACCATCCCTGTTTTCTGGAGCTTGCTGACTTGATGTTGGTCTGGGTCAGGTTGTTGGGATGCAGAGGAAAAAGAAACTGCAAGTCTAGAGAGCAATTCTCATTCCTGATCGGGCTGTCCCTGACCCTCTGAGCCTGCTTTTCAAAGGCCAATGACAGTCACCCCACAAGACATGGCATAGTGTAGATGGGAAATTGCACTGTGAGTATGATAGGCTGTTACTCCTGTGCCTGAAATTCAGAGAAGGAAACTCTGCTTCTTTTCCATTGAAAATGACCCTTTCTTCTACTGAACATGCAGGGATTTGGATTTGAAGAAGCCCATCTACCAGAAGACTGCATGCTACGGCCATTTTGGAAGAAGCGAGTTCCCATGGGAGGTTCCCAAAAAGCTTGTGTTTTAGAGTGAGAAGCTGAACCTAGCCTTGCCCCGGGGGCATCTGGGCAGCCATAGTCCTCTGCTCCAGGATCCCATCACTCAGCTCTTCCAGACCAAAGGCTGCTGACTGTGGTCAAGAGAGTGCCCGCCCCACCACCCCCACCCCACTGCTCCCTCCTGGGCAAGGCCTAGACCCTCTGATTTAGCCCTACCCTGCCATCATCATGAATGGCAGGAAGCAGGCAGCTTCCTGGTGCTGAAGGTCTGATCTCTTCGTGAGGATAGTCACGATGTTCCCGTACCTCTCCCTAAGACAAGATGACGTTAATTTAATAGAAAACCTACCAGGAATAAATTCCCTCTACTCCCCCACAGCCTGGACCCAGACCATATCCCCCACCCCCTGGCATGTGCTGAGGTCAGTGCATCTCACAGATCTCCAGCCAGACCCTTGAGTCAGGGCCTTCACAAAGAGCCTCCCAGGCCAGGCTTCTGGTCAGCATAAGAACAGGGGCTGCCATGGCCCAAGCACCCACAACGAGCAAAGGTCTGAGCTAACCACTGATGCCATTTCTTCTTCACTGCAACATAAGGTGTTGCCTTGGTTATCCCTGTTTATAAATGGGGAAATGAAGCACAGACTGTGTAGGTAACTTTCACAAGGCCCCACAGCCACATGTGTCAGGGCCTAGACATGAATCCAGGAGCTTTGTCCCAGGAGTCTGGACCCCTCTCGACTGCCCAGTCTTGTTCTAGAAACAGGACTGAGCAATGACAAATCAGATTGAAACGAGGCTGTGGCCTCTGTCCTAAAGACCTGAAGTTGCTGAGAATTAGGGGATTGACTCACTGGCTCTTGGTGAGCCCTGAGCAATGATCTGAAAATTTAGGACAGAACAAAGGACTGTTTATTTGCCTCATTTATATCAGAAGACAGTTCAGGGCGAGCTGGCTGGGCTGGAGCTTGGAATTAAGAAGCAACCACATAATCCCAGCCACTAACCACTTAGGCACATGAAGGGCAGAACCTCATGTGAGGGCTGGGGTCTGTGATTCAAGTCTGGTCCAGTTCCATCTGGGCCTCCTGGAGTAGGAGAAGCAGCTCGTTCTAGCATAGGTGGCCAGCCTCTGAAACTAGGCTCGAACTTCGAGTCCTTCAAATCTTTCTCTCTCTCTGGCCCTTTCATAGCCCTGCAATCTCAGTGCTGTTAGAGTAAGTGGGTGAGCTCCTCAGATCATCCTGCCAGAGAAGCCAGTCCCAAGACCAAGATATCTAATGTTCAGTGGTGACCTAGGGGGCAGGGCTTGAATCCTAGTGATGGACAAGTTGACTGAGATGTCATGGGAGATTCTGCCTTTTCCAGGTGGCTTCTGGGTCTACTTCTGAGGGACTTGAAGTGTCCTCAGTGCAATTGGGTCTTGGAAGCTGTATGTTCGCCTGCCTTTCCATCCATGGCCACATACTCTCCCTGTCCTCAGCCTGGGAAGCATCTCTACTTTCTTCCCAGCCCCCAAGACCACAGGCTCAGGTAGGGGCCCCCATGAGCCCCAGGAGAGCCCCAGGGACTGGACTTCTTTCCAGGGCACATGGTGCTGATTCTGGCTGTGACAGGCAGCCCTAGATGCCTCACCTGGAAGCAGACCACATGTTTCTGGGCTCTAGGCCTGAAACACAGAGACCCTTGGCCATCTCTTTCCATCAGTAGCTCCAGAGAAGAAAAAGCCCAGATTACCATAAAATGCTAGAGCTTGTATATGACACAGGAAGCTCTAGTCTTTCCAGTTACCCAGAAAGTCTCTAGTTCTTTTCAGGAGAGAGAGGCACAACTTTGAAGGTGGCTGAGCTCCTCTAACTCAGGTTATATTCAAAGTGAAAATCCCCATTCCCCTAAAGAAATAAGATCTTTTTTTCTGTCAACATTGTTTATATAGAGCCTTTATTGGTTCTTGCTAGGACTGTGAATAAAGACCCACAGAGCAACTCTCTGAGCCTAATTGATTTTGTCTACAAACCCTCTGAAACCTCCCCTTCAAGTGGCATTACCTGGTCTCCCATTCCTCAGCAAAATGGGTGTCCTCCCCTTGGCAGTGCCCCAAACAGGGGCTTTTGGTTCCTGGCCACATGGGGGTCACCCAGCACACCCAGCATGGGTTGAGTTTTCTTGTGCACCAGCTACTATGCTGTCATAACCATAGTTATACTGTACCACATGCCACCAAGATAGTCCTAGGAAACCCAGTAACGTGTGGAGAACCTGAGGTCCAAAGAGGGTTTGGAATATGACCAAGGACATCTGGCTGCCAGGTGGCCCCTCAGTCTTCAGAGTGCAGTCTCTGATCACCATATGTTGCTGCCCTTAGTGCTTGTTTATGGTTGATTCTCCTGCCCCTTCCTGAATGTTATGCACAGTAAGGCTGGCAAGAGCTGGCAACAAATACAGGCAATATTTGTTGAATAAGTGGAGTGGATGAGGGGTTTGGTCTGCAGAGAGATGAGCCAAGCCTGTAAATGGGTGTTTGTTTTTTTTTCACACATTCTGTGAGACAATTGACAGATGGTTATTTTTGTTAGAAATTGTCACTGCAGTAGCTTCCGGAGATGTGGTCCTGAGGGCCTGGACAGAACAGGTGGGGAGGTGGGACCTGCACTGTTTCTTACAAGCACACGGTGAGGAAGAGTCACCTCTGGAGAATCACCACAGTCCAGCTGAGGGCAAGGCCTGGGGAGGAGATCCTGATGTGAGAGAGGCTAACGTACGGTGCCAGAAAGGGTGGATGTGAAGAGAAGACCCCAAGTGTGGCAGAGAGGAGGAGAAAGCCAAAGGCAGGAGGGCTCCTCAGTCTTGTTTGAGACAGATTCTGTGCCTTGAGAAGCCACTACATGGGTTGTGCAGTGAAATCCTTTTCCTAGGAAATAATACATATTTTTCAAACACCCATACAAACAAAAAACCTATATTAATCACATTGGAATGCTTGCCTGTGGGGGAACATGGTAAAAAATGGTCTCCGTGGGCATAAAGGCCAAATAATTAATGAGAGCAAGTTTTGAGCCATGAAGCCCCAAGTGTTAAGATGAAGAGGGAGCATCCAGAGGAGTGGGAGGAAAGCCAGGAGACTGGGGGTGTCCTCAGGTGAAGATACCATTTCTAGGATAAGGGAGGGGTCACTAGTATAAAATGGTACTGATGAGTTAGATGTGTAAGGCCTCAGAATGTGCACTGACTTTAACCTTGTGGAGGTCATTGGTGACCTAGGAAAGGGCAACCTGGTTAAGAAAATGTAAGTATGGTCATATTACCCACCCCATTTGGAATCCTTTAGTGTCTCTGATACATTCATTCTGAGTAAAGGTCAAGAGACGTGACTAAGCTGTGACAACCCCGTGTTCTTGTCCACTGACCATCAGTTTACCCTCGTTCTGGGCTTCATTCTCCACCCCCATTCCAGACTCGCTGTCTTCTTTGGCTTTCCCAAACAGGCCCAGCTATTCCAGCTTAGGACCTTTGCATATGCCATTCACTCTGTGATGCTCTTCTCTCTTTGAATGGGTGCTCCAGCTCATCCTGTAGACTTCAGAAATAATTCTACATTTCTGAAAAACTCCTTCATTGATAACCTCCCTTTTCTATTCTGTTCCATTTTTAGTTTCTTGTTCAGTGTTTAACAAAGTGTTTAAATATGTGTTTCCTTTTTTAACCTTTTTGGGGTCCATCCCTCTGATGACTTCTTCTACACCCACCCCCCACCTTCCCTCCTCTTCACAGGGTATTCCTCTGAATCCTTTTTGTCTCAGCTTGCAAGTCATTCTACAGAAAGGCACTCTCAAACATCCTCCATAAATTATGCCCAACACCATCTTTATCTGGTACTGGGCTATTGAAGGCCATAATTTATTTTTTAATCTAAATTTCATGGTTAGAAGCTCTCCCTTGGAGATCAGAAGTAATATAAAAATCCCCCGTATTGCTACATCTCTTTGACTATACTGGAAATGCCATCCAGTGCAAAAATTCAGGAAAAAAATATATGTGGGGGTGACTTCTCCGCGAGTCCCCCTGGTGCCACAGACACACATGAATGAATAAATATGGCTGAGATAAGATGAGATCTGTTTAGGGGAGGAGAAGTGGGCCGTGGCCAATTTCTCAGGGGAGACAAAGGCCAGCAGCGCCCAGTTTCTCTGAGGAGAAAAAGGCCTCAAGCGCCCTCTTCCATAGCCTTTTATTGAGTTGTAATACACAGGAATACAGGGGGGCAAGGATCAAACACTAGATAACACTTCAAAGAGGTCTGAGGGCTTCAGAGTCTGAGTCAGTGTCTGTCAGGAAGAGAGTTGCAGAAACTTTGGGAGACATACTCATTTCCTCTCGGACCCTTATCATGTGAATGAAAGCACTCTTAGCAGAGCAGATTTCACAGGTTTATCAGCAAGTCTTTGTGGTGCCAGATTTTTCCCCAGGGCACCCTCTGGCCAGGCGAGGAGCCGCACCTCTCCCCAACAGGTATTCAGGCTTAAGGGGATTAGAGCCAGGAAGCACTTCTCCCAGAGGACATGGGGACTTGGGCTTTGTCAAAGCTGGGGGGTGGGGGGCGGGGGGGCGAGAGTCCATTGCTCTTTGTTGCAGCCCTGCCCCCCGAGTTCTTCCATGAAGGCCTCCCAAGTGATCGAGTCTGGCTTAGGTTGCCCCCCACTGTGAGGGGTCTTACCCATCATTGACTTCCCACCAAGCTTTGGGGGCAGGTAGAGGAACTGAGGAAGCGTTTGCTACCAGAGACAAGCCTTGTCTCCTGTGGCTGGCATTCCAAAGGTCGTCCCCTCACCCTTAGCTACAAAGGATAGAGATACAATGCCTAAAACTAGGCAGAGCAATCTGCTACAAGTATACACAAGTTGAATAGAAAAAAACAAAAAACATTTAAAGATGACATGAATAGATATTAAAAAAAGCCAGAAGAATCCACTTACCTCATCATAATTAATAAATAACTTTTGCAAGCCTCTGGAATGTAAGGTAAATATGGAAAGTCAATTGTATGTTTATATATCTGTAGTAAACAGCTAGAAATGAATAAAATATGTCATTTATCACATCAAAGGCAGTACTTCTTGAGGGATGCCAGTGCTTGCTTGTTTATGCCTTTTGACCACAGGACTAGAAATTCATGAGGTCTGGCCTTGTCTGCTTTATTTGCCATTTCATACCTGTCCTGGCACAGAATGGGTACTCAACACAGCACTGACAACATCTGAGAATGATTTCTAGGTGTGTCTGTCTCTCCTGCTCCCTGTGCTTACTTTGCAAAGAAGTTCTGCAAGAGATGAGTGTCCTATTTGTCCTCTGAGACATTTTGTGCCAGGCTCAGGTGCCCAGAGATCATTCGACAGAGGATTTTTTAAGCACCTGTTAAGACTTGTAGCACTGTGACTATCAAGGATTTATACATTTTAATGTTTCAACATGACAAATGAACGTGGGTTGGAAATGAGATGACACATCCATTTCCCATAGAGGTGCCGGAGGAAGGTGATATCACATGGGGAGGAGCTCAAGAGGCATGTACCAGGGGTGGGGAGGCTGGAGCTTGATCTGAAATGTATTTTAGAGTTGGTAGTGGATGGAGGAGTATGGGAATGAGTGGAGACTCTGGGAGAAAGAATTAGAGCCTCAGTAGTGGTTGGGTTGAAATGCTTGGAATGGGAAGTTTTCAAGAAATTTTCACCTGTGACAAATTCTATGGAGTAGCTGTGACTCAGGCACAGTGTAGGAAGCAGCATGACACAATAGCCAAAGTATGAAGACAACCTGTGTCCATCAATGGCTGAATGGATAAAGCAGATGTGGAACTGGAATATTATTCAGCTGTGAGAAAGAAGGAAATCCTGCATTAGTAACAACTTGAATGATGCTTAAGGGCATTATATAAGTGAAATAAGTCTGACAGAGAAAGACAAATAACTGGGACTCCACTTTTATGTTAACTCTACAAAAGCTGAACTCATAGAGACAGTTGAATGGTGGTTTCCAAGGGCTCGGGTTGGGGGAAATGGGATGTTGGTGTTGGGAAAATTTTCCAAGTTGTACTCAGACTGACCTCCAAAGGTCAGGGCTAAGAGTCCAAAGAAAGAGGCTGGCAACTTCAGAATTAAACAGAGGTTAACATATTAAGGGAACTTATGGACATAATCAGGGTCTTAGACAGTAGCAAGATGGGAGATCTCCACATCTGAAAAAAAAATGGACTTGAGACGGAGGCTCCAGGAGCCCAGGTGGCTTGTAGCCAAGTGGCATGTGCTTGTTAAGAGATGTATATTCCAAAACAGTAACCAACTTAAGGTGCCCACTCACCTATGTAAGAACATCCCTTTCAGGTGATATTGGCCCACCTTTCCCCAGATGAGCTGATGGCCACTGAAAGCAACTTGCTTCTTAAGATGGTGTCTGTCCCATCAAGTACCAGAAACCATTTGCCCCATGGTTAGTTAAAGGGTACAAACTTCCATTTAAATGATGAAGAGGTTTTGGGGATCCACTGTACAGCATAGTAATTATAGATATTAATACCGTAGTATATTCTTGAAAGTTGTTAACAAAATCAATCTCAAATTCTCTCACCATGAAAAAGAAATGGTAATTATATGACATGATGGAGGTGTTAGTTAATGTTATGGTGGTAATAATTTTGCAGTTTATAATTGTATCAAATCAGCACATTGTACACCTTAAATATCCACATAATATGTCAATTATATCTCAATAAAGCTGGGGAAAAAATGGTGTGATAGACACCCAGTCCTTGGGCTGTGAAGTCTATTTCCTTCTTACCATGACATCTTTTTTTTTTATATTTTATTTATTTATCTTTGAAAGGAGAGAGGGAGAGAAACATCAATGTATGGTTGCCTTTCATGCGTCCCCTGCTGGGAACTGGCCTGCAGGGAACTGGTCTGCAACCCAGGCATGTGCCCTAACTGGGAAT